GCGATGGCCGCCACCCTACTAGCGATGGCCTCCAACAAAATAGCAATGGCCTTAGTAGCGATGGCCTCCACCCTAGTAGCGACTCCACCCTAGTAGCGATGGCCTGCAACCTAATAGCAATGGCCTCCACCCTAGTAGCGATGGCCTCCAACCTAGAAGCAATGGCCTCCACCCTAGTAGCGACTCCACCCTAGTAGCGATGGCCTGCAACCTAGAAGCTTCCTTTGTTGACGCAAGCGGCAGGCCTTTGAAGTGAATTGTGCGCCTGAGACCTTGCGCCGAACAGATCTGGGAGATTTGAAACCAGGTGACCCGGCGACCACGACGCATCACGGGTCACGCCTTCGTTGGGAACATGCAAGGTAACCAGAAGTCGTCCGTGGTCATTGGAACCAGCAAGTCAATTGCTATTAGGTTGGAGGCCATCGCTATTAGGGAACAGGTCTTGACCAATGTGACTTGTGACTTCCTCTGACAGCTTGGAACTTGGAACTTGTGACTTGGGTGCCTAGGCGATTTGGTGAACTTGGAAAGGCTCGAGGGCAGTCGGAGGGAAAAAGAACACAGAAGACTTAGACGACAGAGAGGTTTTTTGCCATTGCTATTAAGTTGGAGGCCATCGCTAGTATCGCTAGTAGGTTGGAGGCCATCGCTTCTAGGTTGGAGGTCGGACACTTGGGTTTCTGGTCTGTTTTCCAGGTCCATGGCAGCCACAGACCGAAACTCAGGACACTTTGTGCAGGCAGGCTCTAAGACGTTCTTCATATTCTTCTCAGAGTCTACTTGTTCATTTGTTTGAGCAAAGAAGTAATTACACAGAATGGAACCGCCATCGACAGGGTCATGTGGACGAAGCGGGAGAGATCTTAAAGTTTACACCTGAAGGTGACTCCTTATGGCATCTTGGAGAAAGCAGCACATAGCGAGCGCGAGCAGAAGCAGCGGACTATTTTTTAAATCAGATGAATCACTCTCTTAACTTTCAATACATATCAGCTCTCAACGGTTGTGGAATTTGCCAAAGACCAAGGGTCCGGATCTCGCTCAGCGACGACATCCTGCCGTACGTTATCCCCAAAGGCTACCGGGGGTCAGAGTCATGGCAGAGTCATGGAATCCGGTTTCGGACAAGAGGATGGACTTTTTGACCACAGACAAACAATGAAAGGGCATACCAGCAGAATTTGGAACAACAATAATTCCTTTTACTGTCCTCCTGTCTTCCCTTCGTAAGGTGCGGGATCTTGAAAATGACTACCTGGCAGGTTACATTGCTGTGGACGGAACCAGCCTGACGGTGTGTGAGGTGAATCGTTCCAGCCTGCAAAGCATTCCAGCCACATCCCTTATAGCTACTAGTAGCTTCTTGTTACTAATTAGCAGTAATGGCCTCCAACCTAGCGATGGCCTCCAACCTAGTAGCTTATGCCAACATTGCAGTGTTTCCACGTGCTTCCTGTGAGGTAAACCGAAAGGAGAAGTGGTTCAACCTCATGCTGATTGCACACACCCAGAAGTGCATCGTTATCCCAAAGAAGAAGGCCCTGACTTGGACCGCTCTGCTTACCCTTCGTGATGGCTCAACTTTGAAAGGTGGGTGAGCGAGTGAACCTTGAAGCAGATTGCATGGGCAAGGCCAGCAGTTCTGGTGTTTTGAAAGAAGCTGCGGAGTTTGCTTTGCAGACTGCAGACCTATTCGAACATCTAAAGATCTTTGGAGCTTTTTGTGTTGGGAAGGGGTCGGGTCTAGCCAACAAATCTTTCAATCACAACTAACAAACCAAATTCATCGTGCTTAAGCAATGTCATTGAAGTATGGTAGAATGTATCGTATGCAGAAGTGGGGGACACATGGGCATCCTGAGCGCCATTACACAAAGTCAAGAATGCAATTGTATCTGTTGAAAGTGTTTCCGTTGCCTAAAGGGTAGCGGTAGCCTTTTTCAAACCTCAGGGTCCCTAAGGCCAACTATAGACTGATGGCCTCCAACCTACAGCAATGGCCTCCAACCCAAAAACGATGGCCTCCAACTTACTACCGATGGCCTCCAACCTACTAGCGATGGCCTCCAACCCCAGGCCAACTAGACTTTATTTTTTGACTCCAACTCGACGCCAAGTGCTGCACCTGCGCGCACGGCGTCCTGTCGCGGTACATCCTGTCAGTACGCTGCGACAGCAGTGGGCAACGTGCGACACGAGCTGAAGGAGCTCCAGCAGCAACTGCGGGTCACTCAGGCCACGCTCAGCGGTCTTTGGGGGTGACCTTTTGCGCACACTATCAAATTATATCAAATTACTGTGAGACTTGACAACTGGCTTCTCCAAACGGATGCCAACATGTTCTCCAAAAAGATGCCTCAACTGCCGAACTGCTGTTGCTGGAGCTGTGCTGTGGCAGGTGATTTCTTTTGTAGCTCTTTGCACTGCGGCAGCCCTGATGCTGCCGTTCGGACAGCAGTATTCGATGAGGGTCGTTTTGGTCAGACGGTGTGAGTGACGGTGTGTCGAAGCGTGTCACAACAAGCTGTCCGTGTCAGGAACGCTGTCCGGGCACGATAGCCAAGAGTGAAGGAGTTGGAACTCAGCTTGATATTTTGGCCTTTTGAATGGAGGAACGCTGCAATCAAGGCTCTCGCATATCATGCAATCTTCTTTTTTTCACCAAGCTTCTTTTTGAGGAGTTTGGTGCATTTTCAGCTGACTCAGTCAGCTCCTGTTCGGAGCTTTGGTGCTCGAAAAGTCGATTCCGAGCAGGACCCGACTTTTTGGGTTCGGTTGGAGGGTGGAAAGGTACGTAAGATTAGCAAGGACTAGTAGCTAGTAGATGCTAGTAGCTAGGATTGATGCCATTGCTCTTAGGTTGGAGGGTATTGCTATTAGGTTAGATGCTAGTAATTAGCTAGGATGCAAAAGAAGACTCTCTGTAAGAATCTGTTCGTAGACTTGAGGGAACTAGCTGGGCCCTGCCCACAGATGGCGTCAAAGTCAACATCACAAAACGAACATATTTCCTATAGATGATCCTAGTTACATAGTTAAATTTTGTTCGGACACACCCTATTTTCTTGAAATTGAATCTTCGAGAACTATGCTGCAAGTACATGACTCAAAAGCCTTGGGCCCGCAAAAAAGAATGCTCCTTTTTGGGGGCAACGGAATGAATAGAAAAGGACCGGACAAAGACAGGTCAAAAACATGGTCTAAGTGTCTAAAGAACAACATCTCGGGAAAACGATGTCCTTATCGATCCCGTCTCAGCTGGCTCGACCGTCTTCCGGGCACGACGGGCGACCGGGGCCGGGTTGAGGTGCCTGGCTTTGACCTTTCTTTTTTAAAAATACATTTAGACCTTTTGTCTTTCTTTAGTAACAAGAAGCTAGTAGTAACAAGTGCCACGCTAGTAGTAACAG